TACACACACATACACACACATACACACACATACACACACAGATACACACATACACACACACATACACACACATACACACACATACACACACATACACACACATACACACACATACACACACATACACACACATACACACATACACACTAAGTTATATTGATTTAAGTGAATTTAACAATAAAAATTTAATAATCCAATAAACAGTGATGTGTGCATGTATACAATATATATATATATATATATATATATATATATATATATATATATATGTGTGTGTATGTGTGTGTATGTGTGTGTATGTGTGTGTATGTGTGTGTATGTGTGTGTATGTGTGTGTATGTGTGTGTATGTGTGTGTATGTGTTTACCTAACATTCAATAAATTTATTGATTATGCAAATATTTGCTAAGTGTGCACACATTGTTGTTTATATTTGCAAAATTATAAATTTTTAAATGTTGTTATTTCAATTGAATTTTTTACTATATTTTTGTTTATTTTGAATATATTTTAAATAAAAAATTCATAAAAAAAATTATAAAGAATAATATAATTAACATATATAAAAAATTATAAATAATAAATACAATTAAATAATTATAATAATTACAGTTAAATAATTATAATAAAATTTTTTTACTAAATTAATTATTTTCAAATAATGATACTTTTTTTTATAAATCAATTAGTTTTTATTAAAAATAATTATCGTTTTTATTTTGTTATATAATTTAGTTCAATCACTTTAATTATTTGATTTATATATACATATTATATATATATATATATATAAATCATATAATAAACACATTATTAAATAATAATTTGGTGTTAAATATAACATAACTATTGACCAATTGGTGCGCACCCGGTGTCTGGCAATAATTATAGAGTTAGTGAGTGAGTGGGTGAGTGAGAGAGAGAGAGAGAGTGAGAGAGTGGCGCTTATGTAGTGCACAGAATCGACAGCTGCCGACACATACAAACAGTCAGAGCACAGATACATAGGGATCGCATCCAACAGTTTTCACTATACTATCGACTCATACCAAACCATACCAACCGAGAGGAGACTAGTAGTGCCATTCAAGTCGATGACGACGACTGTGCCATACATTTAGTATACATACATAACTTTCTCCTCTCATTCTGTATATACATATATATATATATATATACAGAATATATAGTGTATATATCACTCTTTCTCTAAGCAATTGAGCGAAAAAACACAGTCGGTGCCATAGCATACCAGTGCTCGGCCTATCTATCTATCTAACTGTGTGTCAATGTGTGTGTGTGTCTATCAGTGCAGTCAATGTCGGCAAAAAAAAAAGTTTTATAATTCAATATCCAATCTCTTAATAATAAAAATACATTACGAGTGAGTAATCATTTGTCACTTAGACTTTCACTTTTGGATATTAAATAATTTTAATAATATTTATTATACATTACTTATATACAGTATATATATATACATAAGTTGGTTAACATTTAATTAATATTAATTAACATTAAATTTTTTTTTTATTTATTATATTTGTTGGTGCATTAATAAAATTTTCTCTCTCTCTCTCTATTAATAAAATTAAATAATAATAATAATAATAATTTGACAAATATTCTGATATTATATATAATATTATATATATTTATATAAATTTGAAATATCAAAAAAAAATTTTTATAAATCTGTATATAATTTAGTAAATATATAGTTACAAAAATTTTTTTTTTTGAAAATTAAAATCAAATTGTCTACTATTTTTTTGTAATTATTTATATTATTATTAATATTATTAGTGATTTTAGTGATAAACATAATAATAATAATAATAAATTTAAATGACTATTATCTGCTGAAAAAAACACATTAAATAAACTGCTAATTAGTTTTTATGATAACCAAGTTTTTTATTATTATTAATATTATTATTACATTTATATATATATTTAATTGTGTGAATTTATTTTATATGAAAATAAATATTATAATTTAGTCCAACAACAAAAAATGTTTTACATATCATAAAACTCATCCAACAACAAAAAATTGCTGCCATTTATTTCATATTATAAATTTATATATATATATATTTATATATATAGTTATATATTAATATTATATATTAATTTTCAAAATTTTTAAGTACTAACAAAAAAAATAATTAAATTTAATAATAATATTTAAATTAATAATACTTTTTTTAATAATATTAATACCACTAATTTATAAATGTTTTTATCTTAAATTATTAAATATATACAAATACAGTTATATATATACAAAAACAATTATAATAATTACAACAACAACAACAACAAAAATAAATAAAAATAAATAAAAATTTAACATTTATTTCTATGTAGACATACAAACAGTTTTTATGTTGCGATGCATTTTGGATATATTAATCATAATAAAATAAAATAATATATATATATAATATATATAATATTATACATATATACTACTACTACTACTACTACTACTTCAACTAATAGCATCACTATTAGTATTTGGCAAATCTATACTACTCAACAAAAAAATAAAAATAAAAATAATACATATATTTAATAATAATAATAATAATAATAATAATAATAATAATAATAATAATATTACAAATACTACTAATATTACTAATAATAATAGCTATGAATTCATTAATTCTGAGCAATACTTCAATTATTTCGATATACTGTCTATATATATGTATAGGAAATACATGTATTAAATAATATATATATATATATATATATATAGTATATATATATATATAAAATACATTGGACTCTATGTATGCATAAATTGATAGCACAGGTAGTCTATCAATGTATATGTGTGTGTGTGTGCACTAGTAGTATACGGTATAATAATGATAATAATGATTACAAAAATTCAATGCAATTAATTGCATATTATTAATATTCAGTATATATACAGTATATATATATATTTAAAAAAAAACATTAACACACATATTCATCATCTTTGAAAATATATATCAAATTTTATTTTTATGTTTTGTGTTTTGTTGTGTACGTGAGATATATTAATGTGAATACAAATTGTTGTTATTTGTTAATAATAATAATAATCATAATAATGTGTTTAACTATTATTTTAAAATTTGCAATAAACGACATCAACAACAATAGCAACAAAATTAATAATAATACTATTAATAGTTTGCAAAAAAATAATTTTTATTTAATATAAATTATTATTTATTTATTGTGAACTTTTTTTTAATTTTATTTTCAATCTATTAAACCAAACAACATATTGATTATATATATATATATAATAATAAATATCATATATTTATATACAAATATATCATTACTATATAAACAATATATATATATATATATATATATAATATATGATCGCTTTTTATAATTTTTTTTTGATGTGTGTTTAAGTTAAAGCATATATATATAAAAACTTTTAGTATAAAACAACTATTAATATTATATTATCATTTATTTTATTTTGAATAAATTATATATATATATATTTGCCAATTCATATATCAATAAATTTAATATTTATCATTCAATTGACCAAAAGATTATCGCTATATACAGTAACTGTGTGTTTGTTTGTATATAAATAAATTAAATACATTTATTTATAAACATATATATATATATATTCATATATTTAATATCTATGTATAAATATATATATATATCATTTACAGCAACAACAACATCAACACAACTATAGTAATACTGAATACAGTTTTTGTATTATTATATTATATTTGATTAATTGATTCGCAATTTATTATTAGTTTTGTTGTCTACTGTATATATATATATATTGTATGTATGTTTGAACTACCAGTGTGTTTGCTATCGTGAATTGGATTTCATATAATATATATATTTGTCGACGATTTTTTTTTGTTGATATTATATTTATATGATATAAAAAAATACATTTATATATATATTGTGTATGTGTTAGACAAACGACATATAAGATATATCAAACAACAAATATATTTATAATATATGTATATTTAGTGTAAAATAATATATTGAATAATATATGTATGTATTATAAGTTTGTATTTTTTTTTGCTACTACACTGTGAGCTACTGTTTGTTTGTTTGCTACAGTAGTTGTTAAACAATATATCACTACAAATAATATATATATATATATATATATATATATACAGTATATATATATGTATAATATATTGCAATGTTATATGTATTAGTGTTGTAATAATAATAATACATTAGTTGAGCTAGGATATTTTTCATGTTTACAGTCAAAATATCCAGATATATATATATATATATAATATATAGGATTTTTTTAAATAAATAAAATAAACTAAATATATATATATTTAGTAAATTATATCCAAACTAAATGGCAATACTGATCAATGGGTATTGTGATACTAAAAACAAAAATTATAATATATTTTATTGATAATAACCCAACAAAAAAAAATATTTAAAATTTTTTATGTAATTTATACCCAGTATTACTAAATAAATTATTATTATTATTATTAGTGAATAAATAAATCTTTCATCAAGATAACTGTTTTTGATTTTATATTTTTATTTATCAAATATATATATATATTATATATTGATAGATAAAAATAAAAATAAATATATATATATTTATTAATATAAGATAACTGTTCAAACTATTCAAGCACACTCCAATCAACATAATATTAATATCAATAAAATAAAATAAAAGGGACAGTCATATATATAGTCATACTGTCGACACCAATAAAACAACATCACATCAATATATAGTACAGTATTAGCCACTAAATAATAGTAATAAATATATATATATATCTATACATTGATATAATAAAAATACTAAATCTAATACAACTATCTATATAAAGTGTGTCTCCCCGACATATATTTATATAATTATATAATACAATATATATATATATAGCACTGATATCCCTAAAAACTACTACTACTACAGTAAAAAAACATAATGTGGACACCAATAGCTACTACCACTACTACTACTACTGTTACACTATGGCTACTAACAGTGACAACAGTTTGTTTGGTTTGCAAATTGCCGGTAATTTATTGTACGGGTGTTAATACTGGTGTCAACAATGCCATCATTGATGGTGGCGGTGGTGGCGGTGGTGGTGGTAACAGTGCTGGAGATGATGATGATATAATACAATTGCCAGCAACATATGATCAACCATTTGGTAAGTCATTTATATATCATATATATAGTTATATACTATACCATTACTACAGTATATAATAAAAAGTCATAAAATTTTAATACATTAGCAAATAGTTGGCGTATAATATAATATTATATCAATAGATATACATAAGCTTTACTTTATTTTGGTAAGTAATTGTGTGGTGTGTAATATATATATATATACCACTATATTATGATATAAAGCTATAATATATGGAAATTACAGTATTTTTATTATATATTTATTATATATAATATATAACTGATTTAATTGGAAAATCTACTTTAATTAGAGAATATTCTCATATATATAATATATATATATATTTTTGTTATTATTAAAAATAGTCACTAATTAGTATATGTTATTATATTATATGATATTATATTTTTTGTTTCATTGAAATATGATATTTAATTATTGGTTATGATTTATATTACAGCATATATACTGTATATATTGATACAAATTTTTAATTTACTTTATTATATATATATAATATTTTAAGTATGTTAATTTATTTTATTATTATTATTATTATTATAATATTAAGTAATTATATTTAATATATAATTACTTAATATTTTTAGTTTTGTTTAATTTAATATATAAAAATATCTATATATACTGTATATAAAAAAAAATCATAATTACTAGAATCTAAAAAAACGTTAGTTTAACTTATAATAAATGTAAATCATTAGCGCGGTTATAAAAATTTATTTGACATAATAAATATGGTATAATTAGTGTATATATATATATATTATTTACATTATTAACATATGATATAAATTAAATTAAATGAAAAGTTTGGTTACAAATTTTTTTTAAATGACATCACAAAAATTATATATTGATTTATTAATACTTGTAGATATTATATTTATATATATATATATATTTAAATACAACCATTTATTTTGGCAGTAACTCTAATTATATAATGTTTTTCAATAAAAATAATATATTTAAATATTACACTAATATTGCTGATAAAATGATTAATTATTTGTTAACAGTTTTTTTTAAAACTATAATTTAAATGCTCATCAATTTTGTATAATTTATAATTTATTATTATTACAATAATACCTAAATTCAATGTGTGTTGTTAATGTTATCTTTTCTTTAATAATATTATAATAATATTTATTTATATAATTTTATTTTAAAGTTTAGTAAGTTGTCAATCATAATACTATTATATTATTTTGTTTTATTTATTTTATTATTTTTAAAAAATAGAGACATTTAGTTAAATATAATTTAATCTTTAAATATAATCAAATTTTTTTGTTTGAAAAATATTAATAAAGTTTATTTAACTATTTTAAAATTTAAAAAATAATTAATATATATATTTTTTGAGCTATATATATATTGTATTACTAAAAAAATAGTTATTGTTATAGTTTACCTAAATATTGAAATTTAGTTTTATTTAATATCATATATTCATATTTTATTATATTTAAAAAAAAAAATCTATAATGAGATTGTTTTAACAGATTATATATAATTATCCTATTATTTTTAAAATATATCTAACGTTAACCATATGCCACATATTATATTTATGTATTATATATATATATATATATATAATATTTATATTATACATAATTTTGTTAATCTATATAATAATAATAGTTAGTTATAGTACTGATATATATATATATATATATATATATATATATATATAATGAAAATATGTGACATATTTGTCATTTTTGTTATTATTTTTGATTATGATTTTATAGAGGGTTTTTTGACAGTCATTTAGACAACAATTTATTTATTATATATATTTATATATATACTTTATTATTGTTATATATATATATTTTTGATTATTATATAAATATAAATTATAAATAATTTATTTTAATTTCCAAAAATTATTTTCTGTGATATTATAATAATTTTAATATCAATTTACAAAATTGATTATTTTCATAAATAAACCGAAAGTTCAATTTTGTTAAAATAAATATTGTATTAAAATTATTTACTATTATTATTATTATTATTAAATAATTTATGAATAATTTGAATATAATTTTTTTAAAGTTCTTAAATAATATATTAAATTTATTTTTATATATAAATATTAAATTACTTGATTTTATTTTTTTTATATTGATAATATCTTATATGTAAAGTTTGAAAATTAAATAATAATAATACTAATAAATTATTGATTAATATAATATTAATTATTAGACTGATATAAATAGACTTATAGTTTAAAGATATAAATATATTTTTTGTATAATATCTTATATATAAAAATTGAATGTTTTTTTTGCATTATTATTATTATTATTACAGTATATGTAAGGAGTTAAACAAAAATCAATGATATATTTTTTATATTATTATTATTATATAAAATAGTTTATATAAAAATATATCTTTAATAGGGGGGGGGAAACTTAACTTTATCAATAAAAATTTTTTTATCAATGATATATTTTTTTTTAAATTTATTTATAATAATAAAAAAAATTTTTGATCATAAAATATCTGTATAAAAAAATATAAATTATATCATAATATATCATAAACATATTTTCTGAAATATTGATTTATTTTAATAACATTATTATTAGTAGTATTACTATATTGAAACCATTATAAAAAATATTTAATATATTAAAAAATATTTTTCCAATATATTTTTATATATATATATATATATTCTAAGTAATATACAAATATTATTATTTTGAATATACTGTATATATATATATATTATTTATAAGTCAATTTCAATTTTGAAGTTTAATTTTTTTGTTGTTGAATATTAGACATACAGTAATATATATATATATATTTATATTTTGCTCAATAGTTTAGTATATATGGGAAACGGGTTAAATAAACAACAATAAATGTCAATTAATATATATATATTATTTTAAAATACACACACATAAAAACAGTTATGATTTGAATATATCAATAATAATAAAAAATACAATACTGTATAGTATAGTAATATATTATATATAACTTTTATATAACTTATATTATATATGTGTGCAATGTTTTTAATTAGATAAATATAATATATATATATATATATATATATATAATATTTAATGTATAAAAACTACATTTACAATAGCAACAAAAATAATTATATATTATACTGTATAAAAATATATTGTAAAATAAAAAAAATGTTTTTAAAATTCAGATACACGTTGCTATTAAAATATCTATATATATATACATGTATATTAAGTTAAAATTTATTATCGCATAAATTTACTATGAAATTACAGTCTATAGTTTAGAAATAAATAGAAAAAAATAAAAAATAAATTTTCCTTAAAATTTTAAACTAAGTTTACGTTTTTTTTTATTATAACAGACATTCAAAAATTCATCAAAAAATAAAATATTTACCTCACTTTCACTTTAATATATTATATACTCAACAAAATAAACATAATATATATATATGTATATATGATATTTAAAAAAAACTATAATATATTATATATATTGAATAACAAAAATATTAAAGATTTTTAAAATGTATTTAAAGTACAATATATTATATATAGAAAATAAAATAAACTGAATGAATGAATGCATTTTTGCGGACGTTTTTATTTTTACAAAAAAAACATTTTTTTTGAACTCAAATATATATATATATATATATATATAGAAATTTTCTATAGATTTGATAATCAAAAAAAAATACAAAATGTTTATTAACTGTTTGAATCAATGGGCTAAATGTGAGACCTTTTAGTAATATTAAATATTATTTAAAAAAAATAAAAAATAAAATTATATATATAATATAATATATTAGTTTTTTTTGTTGAATATACATACTTTAAGTTTTTAATACACAAAATATTTTATATATATATTTAATACTTAAGTTGTTGTTTTAAAAATATATATATTTTTTATATATAATATATATAACATTAAATATGTTATACTTTATATGTGTATGTGATGTGTTTTTCAGTGTTTAATATCCGTAAAAATATTGAATAATATATAACATTGTGTTTTAAACATTATTATTTTTTTTGAAAATAACATAATTTTTTCTTTGCTGGGGATATTTTTTTATAGTATAATATAATACAATATATATATATATATATGTTTTATATATATTATATATTCAATAGTTAAACATATATATATATATATATGGTATAGAAGTTATAAAATTTGAAAAACATGTTAAACACATTTATATATATTTATATGTCTAGTATATACTGTGGAAAAAAATATAAATACATATATTGTATAACATATACTGTTATAACAACATATACTGTATATATATATATATATTGAATATATTTATATATATATATATATATATATATTATTTATGATTATAGGATATTGATGTTGTACCACTTTGTTGTTATTTTTTTGTTGCTATTTTTTCAAAAATATATATATATATAAAAAAAATATTATTTTTAATATTTTATTTTCTATTATCTACCGGAATTACATTAAAACGGTTAGTTATTATTATTATTATTATTTTCTATTAAAATATAAAAATTATTATAATAAAAATTTACACTTAATTATTTGATAATTACAACATAACTTTACATTAAAAATAATAATAATAATAATACATTTTTAATTAATTTTTTTTGTTAAAAAAAATTTTTTTCGCCATTAAATTAACATTTTTATAATAATTTTTATAATTAATTTGTTAATAATATTCCGAATATTAATAATAGTTTTTTTTGGTGACATTTACTTATACTTATTAATACTATGTTTTGTAGTATAAATACTATAATAAATTTTTTACATTTAATTGACAACACTGTATATTATATCTGTATAATGTTAACTTTGATATATAAGCTACATGTGTGTATGAATATGTGTATATGTGTGTGTATGTATGTGTGTATGTGTGTGTATGTATGTGTATGTATGTGTATGTATGTGTATGTATGTGTATGTATGTGTAT